AAAACAAAAAACACGTGTTTTCTTGTTTCCAAGAGGCACGGTCCTACCTCTTGCGAAAGCACAACCATGCCTCTTGTGGAAGCAAAACCGTACCTCTCGTGGAAATAAAAAGATAACAGAAAACACATTTTTTTCCGTTTCCGAGAGGCACGACCGTGCCTCTCGCAGAAGAAAAAAAACTAGAAAACACATCTTTTTTTTCGTTTTCGAGAGGCATTGCCGTGTCTCTCGCGAAGCAAAACCATGCCTTTCCCGGAAGCAAAAGGAAAAAGAAAACTTGTTTTTCTGTGCAATTTTTTTTTGAATTTTATTTTTCCAAAAGCGAAGGATGACCGAGGAAAAAACAAAAGGTTGAAAAGGACTAGAAAAAATGGCATAAAAAGCCAGAAATGCGTGCAAAAAAATAAAAAAAAATCCAGAGGAAGTACCCAGAACATGACATGTGGCAGCGGCTGGCGCGCTCTCAACCCACCTGCAAGTGATCGGTGTGAGGCTTCCGAAGAGCACTCGTCAACTAGTTGCTCTACATTCAAACGCTCGCTATAGTTGTACCTTCGTTTGACCTTTTTTCTTGTTCTTTTTTATTTCAGTTTTCTTTGTTTCTTTATGATTTCCTTTGGTTTTTCTATTTTCATCTTTCCGTTTACAGGCTCTTCTTTTTCTATCTTTTTATCAATGATTTATTGGTTTCTTTTTTTTTTCTTGGCTTTTCCAGGTTTTTTTCCTGTTTTCATTTTCCCTTCATTTCTTATAGCTTTCTTTGGTTTTCTATTTTCTTTGTTTCTTTCACGATTTTTACAAGTTTGTCTTTTGTTTCTTCGGTTTTCATTGTTTCTTTGTCAGTTTTTATTGGTTTATTGCTTTCCTTTCTTTTTTACTTTTTATTTTTTTCTTTGTTTCTTTCTTGATTTTTTTAATTTTCTTTGTTTCTGTCTTTGGTTTCTTTGATTTTCACATGTCTCTTCTTATTTTCATCAACACATGTTTACATTTTTCATACACATTGGTACAGTTTTCGTGCATATAAGGAATAATTTTTGTACATGTTTAACATTTTCTAAATACATGATTAAAATTTAGAAAAATTATGTTTGATAACTAGTTTCTTCATAGACATTGTACATTTTTGGTATATATCAGTACCATTTCCAAATACATATTCAACATATTTGAATTATATGACTACATTTTCATACATGATAAAAAAATTAAAAAGTTTTTATGTCCAAATTTTTTAATACATGTTCTACCATTTCCTATACATCAAGAACATTTGTTATATGTGTTTAACATTCTTTTAAAATAAATCAAGAACATTTATTTTGGAGACCCTTGAAGCAATCCGATGCTCTGTCTTGCTTTAAGTGAGACATAGTCACGCCCGCTAACCAGCGATGAACGAGCCGAATAGGAGATCTATCTTTTACCCAGTTTCCTCCTCCTCCTAGCATCTTTCTTTTTCATTCATAGAGGGTGCCTCCTATTTGCCGCATCGAGCGGCAAATAGAGAATGCATCGCTCAAAACTGAGCGACAAGGGTTGGCCCACTTTTTGTGATG